TTTTTCAGGGAGATGTCAGCAGCGGATCTCTTTCGACACGATCGGGCCGATTCACAACGCGTACGCGTCTGCAGTTGCCTTGGTGATCGGTAGGTAATTTAAGAAGTATAGACAATTAAATAATTAGAAATGTGCCTTTAATTAGTATTATTACAGTTCTACCGCTCCGCTTAATCCCTTAATACTGGTCGGGCAGGCTTAGCCGAGTTCAGCATAGAACCTTTTTTCACTATTGTGCATCTCTTCTCCAAGTCTGCAAAGAGGAAAGACGCACAAGTGGGAAGGGACAGTGTTAAACCCGGCTCCGCCCATACGACCACCGTGAAATGCGCCTTCAATCATAGTAGCTTTATAATCTTAATTTCAAGAAACTACAGGCTCTACCAAATTGGAAATTTTGCAAGATTACAAGTTAGGATAACGGATTGTATACAGTACTCACTGCGCGGAAAACTTCAAGGAGTATGTACACCCCCACTCCAGACCTATCCCCCACGGCATTTTTTCAGGACAAAAACAGTGAAAACTTGTAGAAAAACTTTTACTATGTCATTCCACTCATTTCAGCTGCAATGGTTCATTGTCTGGCAGTCGACAGCCAGACACAGTGGTGCTACTCGTCCTGCTGCTCACCTTATTATTGATACGGTAGCTTCGAATCGTTTGTACCGTACCTCATTCGTCGCTTGTTGTCCATCATAGTTGTCAATTTTCTTATAGTTTTTTTTACTTGTCAGCCCCATCAAAACTGTCGGTTCTACTCAGGGTATCCTCATTGTCCATGTTCCGGTATCTCCAATTCCACAGTCTGCTATAGCGCTTCAGAAAATCTCCAAGCGTGACTGAAAAAAGGTCATCTCGCGGCATTGGCTAGGGGAGGCCGTCTTTACAGAGCACTTGTGGGGTCGGCACGGGGTAAATTGCTTGGTAAGGTTGCGACAGAGCACCAGACACGTGATGCATAGCTCCACGAACAAATAGCAAAACGTAGCGCCCCTCCTAGTCTGAAGGCCAATCATTAGTAAGTCAGCCCTGTAACTAATCCGCGAACGGAGTGCTTAGCGTCACCTCTCTACTGACTGGATATGGGCTTGCCTACATGGTTCAACCAGGGATTATTCGTCCAGCGTGGCAGCGAATGCTATCTTCCGATTTCCGGTGAAATGTCATAAACGGAAGAAACTTCTGCTGCTCCTTCAGCTAAATGCACCTGTCGCGCCCTTCCATGGTGGGTGGGTGGGGCTCTAACAACAGCCCGCACTCCCCACTTCAGAGTAATGGGGGTTCATGTCCTTTTCGTTGGAAAAACTGTTTCAAGAGCCCAGCTTCACCTTGCCTAAAGGTCAGGGGGCGCAACGCGTGCACGGCCTGCCTGTGATGACACGTCCCCATCGCGTCCGCAGTGCATATACCGCGCGCGGAGTCGTTATGCGGCGCGCTCACAACGTCACATACCCCCTCCCTCCCCAGAATGTCTTTAATTATTTTCTTCAAACCTTCATAGGATCTTAAAGGCCTGACCTGTGGACCAAATTTTTTGAACATGTTATCCTTGTAATTCATCCATCAAATCGAAAGTCAACATTTGTTTGCTAATCCGATGTGGAATGCGAAGCGGTGCTTGTCGAGTGCTGCCGGGTGCGGACGCGTCGCGGTTGCGCTGCGAACAAGCTTGCCATCGTTTTCAGAGCGAGCCGAATACCAGCACATATGACATTTTATCGAGCAGTGAGAAATTGTCTACTCGAACGATTCTAGTTGTACATTGATAGTGGATAGTTGTTAGTAACAGAGTCGCAGCGCAACCGCTCGCGTCCGCTCTCACTGGAATACCAGGCGAGCAGTCAGAGATATTGGTTATTTTGGGCAGATTTTGCATTTACAGTACATCGCACCATCCCCCTCCCCTTATTCCTTCCTATTTATTGACTTAGAAGATGAAATTGGCAAAATACGCACTCAGCTGTCATTCAGAACTTTCTACTTTTCTTGCTCGCCTTGCTATTGATTGGATAGCTTTATTGATTGATCGATTGGTTTTATGATATCACCTTTAGTTCTCTATGCTTTATCGAGATTTGTATATAGTCCACGTGCGCGATTTACAAGTGACACATATGCATGAGCTGTTTAAACTTGGCACACATCCAAAATCGTCGGGCTAAAAGGGAAGTTTTGGCTCCCGGCCAAAACCGATAACCCTACATATCGCTTCTTCAAGATTTCTATGCCTCTTCGTTTTCATTTGTATTGAGTCGTTTCAATAAAGTTTCAGAATCATGGTCTACCCTCAAGACGATCAATGGTGTCGATCAATATCTTATTAGGCTACGTTCATGCTTTGCGGCAACGTCCACCAGTGTCGCGAGGGACCAGTGAAGCATAGGTATCGATTTAGCGAACACCAGCGTCCAGGAGTAGAGTGTATGGGGAAGTAGGAGGGCAGCAAACAGCTGGATTAGGCGTCGTGAAATTGCGGCGTGTGCAACCTGCACCGCACAACTGCTAAAGCACAGAATTATGCAATTTAAGTACAATATTGTGTAGTAGCACGGTGCGGCTGCACCCACAACGCTGAATCCAACTGTCTGCTCCCTTTCACTTCCCCATACTCTACCAGCACTCTGCTACCCTCCCACTTCCCCATACTCTCTACTCCTGGTCGCTGGTGGACGCTGGTAGACGCTGGTAGACGCTGCCGTTCGCTAGATCGATATCTATACTTTCCTAGTCGCTGACGGACGCTCGAAACGCTGGTGGACGCTGCCGCAGAGTAGAACGCAGCCTTGGTGAACAGCATTATTCCCAGAAAGTCACAAAATTTATTTACAATTTTTATTGTTTTTATATCAACAGCTAGTCAGTCAACTAATTTCACAATTACTCAGATGACACAGTAGCTACCGATTCCAGAACACATGTAACATAAATAGCACAAAAATCAATAACACATGTATACAGTACCCATGAATAGAATGACGCACACCACTGGCCACGCCCATTTATGACAGTTGTCGTGTTTCGATGACGTGATTGTACGAGCGTTTTCTTCGTCTCAACAACGGTGGTACATCTTTGAAACACTCACATCCGGTACGTTTTCGTTCCATGCCACGATCTCGTTGTGGATAGCAGAACCCACCTTCAGAACCCTGAAAATTTTTGACTTTATGTGGAAATGATGGCAGGCGCTGTTCGGCCTGGGAGGGGCACTTTGTACTGTCGCTAGTTCCTTTTGTCGGCTAAGAAGGCGACTTTTGTCGGCTAAGAAGGCTGTGATGAAACTTATAAACTCTTGCAAAGCTGCGTACAAATGACAGCATCAGGAACTACATATCTTGTCTTTACAAGGTGGCTTGTGGAGGCTTCAGTGAATAGGTGCCCCCATCAAGCCGGACTGTGCCATATCAAGCGACACTGTGCCAAAGGAAGCATTATCGGGATGCGAGTCTTTTCCAAAAACAACATTAGGTATGAGCAGGTAATGAATAAAGTTATTGAAATAATAACCAGCAAAGTAGCCAGAGCGCCCAAGAAGCCCTGTACACTTCCATGTCGCGGCGACGGGTAGGCGTGGCCTTATGTGTGTTCCGTATTTGGACAAACGTACATTATTCATGTTCTTCGAGAGAAATTGCTTCGCATTCGCGACAAGCTGTCGCTGCCCTAATGCTAGGAATTAAGATATGAATACATTGCCCGAGGAACCCGAACTAGAAATGCGAGTCGCCGCACGAACTGCATTTTATATCGGTATCAGTGCCTTCTCCTCCCCCCCGCCTCTCAGGTGAGAGGAGCAAGGGAAGGAGATGTCGTATTGCAATTTTTCAACGACAGGACGAGCCCTGATCTCGGACCTTACGGTATGGGCAATTCGCAGTGGGCGGAGCTGGTGTAGGGCACGTGGTGCTGCTGGTCAGAAACATGGCGCGGGAATTCAATTCCTGGCAACTAACAATAATACTTCCATCCCGTCCGGCATCCCTTGACTGATCACCGCTGGCTATCACTGACTCAATCTGCAATTGTTATCCGCTGGCTCACCAATTGGGTATGGGTCATCCGCTACAACAAGCAACCACAAGTCCCGAGCTGGAAAGTCTGACATGCATGTGCGCATCTTCACAAAACCTGAACTAAGCACCAGTGCCTTTGTCCTTCTTATTTGACAGTATGATTGGTCATTGGACACACTAAATATCACTGCATTAAGGGGGTCATTGTGCAAGTTGGGCGTTCAGAAAGCATGCAGTGACGTTATTGTATTTATTTATTCCTGGTGCATTACCACGTGTTGCGCCATTGATTGACAGCGAACTGAACACCGGGGCTACCTTGCAAACACGTGCATTCTCCTTCGGTCACTCTGGAACACATCACTTGTTTCATTGTTTTGTTCATGTCTATTTTAATTTTGAAATTAATAGATTTTCTATCGCGTTTATTTGCTGCCTTATTCAGTTCTTATCTTGTAAGATAGGCACCCCATTCCAATATTTAATTGTAATTTCTACCTATTTCAAAGAATGACGTGAAAATTCAAAGGGTAATGTAATGATCGATGAGGAGTTGATCTCTCCCTTCTAGAATAAGCCATGCACGTCCCTTTCATTCCATTTCATGCTCTTTTTGTATAAGCCTTCGGGCACAACTTTTTGCGGGCATTGAATAATGTTCGGCGCAGTTTGGCGGCGGGGACGGAGGGACTTTGTACTATCATCGCTTCCCTAGTTAAAGGCAGTTGGCACGATATTTTGCTAATTGGCCTAAAATGCTAGTAGGGCGCCATATAGTGGGGAAAATGGCGAAAAAACGAAGTGAAACGGTCAAAAACCTGCGAAGAAAAACCTTCGTCCTTAATGACAATTTCGGACGAGTTTTCCGTAGACATCTTGCCAATAACCGCTACGGTGGGTACGGCTGCATGTACGTTCTCATATATCCATGCAGCACCGCAGCCGCTCGTCATACCAATCTCTTCGCTTCA